TCTACCCCACTAGGACATCACACAAGCGATAAACACCCGATAACACAAAGTGCCACCATGTGGATGAGGATCGCCGTTGAGAGGTCCCAGAAACCGCGTTCAGACAATTGGCCATATTTATGGCCTGCCTTTATTGCGGCCCCTGGAAAAAGCCAGGGTGGGGCTTCAAATGACAAAAAATTTCGTCCTAAAAAGGACGAAACGATATAACCGCTGAGACTATAATTAGAACAGTACAAACTCTGTTCATTATATACAGAAATGAAGTCTACAAACTAGTCATACTTGCACGAGGATTTTGATAAGTTAACCAATGAAAAAGAATTGCCGGTTAACTGCTTGATTTCTAACTTGATGCATTCTATAACTACACATTCTGGATAATATATTCGCACACACATATACATATACATCTATATATGTATAGTCTATACATACATACATATATATATGTATACACACACACTTATATATATATATACATACATACATACATACTTATATGTACGTAGGTATATTTATATATGGGGATATTTCATTCATTCATTCAGTAGCATGTCCCTCGCGGAACCTCGCTGCCATAACAACCCTCCGGAAAACCTTCCTATCATGAGCAAGATGCCCTGCGTCTGATACACCCATCTGGAGATCATCTGCCACATCCTGCACCCATCTTCTCCTTGGCCTTCCTCTTCCTCTCTTCCCAGGCATATACCCCTCCATTATTGTTCTCTCTAGACTTCCATGACGTTTCAAGTGACCAAAATATTTCAATTTTCTTTGTTTTATTGTCTTTACTAGCCAACCCTCTTCAATATTCAGCTCTTGTGGATATTTAGGCATTTAAAATTTACACTGCTATGTTAGTCTCGAATTTTTCTTTTTTTATTTGACTAGTTAATTTAAATCTGCTAACTGTGGTTTCACTACAAAAATGTTGCTGTTTTTTGGTGAATTTCAGTGACTTCAAAAATGTAAATGTTTATAAAATCTAACTGAGTGCTGTGGAAGTTTGCCAAGTAAATAGTAAATGTTAAAATAACTGCCTGACTGACTTCTTACACCACCAGGGCATCGCACAAGCGATAAACACCAGGTGAAACAAAGTTTCACCATGCGGATGTGGATCACCCATGTAGAGGTCCCCAAAACCCCTTTCAGCAGTTAGGCCATATTAAGGGGAAAGCCATATGCATGCCCTGGCTATATTCAAGGTCCCCGGCGGCAGAAGCCAAGGTGGGGCTTCAAAAAAACCAATAATTGCATTCCACATGGGGATGACTAATTAATATAAATTTAATATGGCATATTCAGAGGCATCTTTGCTTAGCAAGTAATAAAAATTATTGAGCATAACATTGCAATAATTACTGGACGGATTTTACATAGCAAATTCTATTACTTGACGAAGGATAGTGTCTCTGTTGGAGCGACATCATAAACGCTTGATGTAGATCTGCAGGACCAAGGTGCTTGAGATATTGCAGTATACGGCTCAATGATTAAGAGGCATAGCCGTTACTTAACAATCAGGGTTTATGCGAGTGAGTATCCTCCTTGGTAGATCTTACACTAGAGGCACACACCTGAGATATGACCATATAATCTAGTAGCTCCACCACTTGGGATAACTGCTTTACGGGTAAGGAAGCAAACGATTAATCATAGTGTTTAGCGTCAGACGTGAGTCCTGGGTTGTAACGCACAGTGATGGGTGCATGATATTAGGGCAAGTTCGATGAGGGAGTGGTTTGTGTCAAATGAGACATGGCGAGGGAAGTATACTTAGAACGACATGCAGTTACAGTAGTTACCATTGATTACTTGCGCTTGAAGAAGGTCGCAGATGGTGTACGACTCTAGTTCGCTGCAGCTGCTACTTCTGACCATCAGCTGCACTTTAATGTTGACCATCTCGTAGCAAATGGGATGTTGCTGGGTCACGGTTGAGAGAGCAAGTAAGACATGTGGCTTAGGCCCTGTAGTTAAACCAGTTTCATTTAGGACGTTGAATATGTTACTTATCTGTACAATGTGGATGGGGGTGAAGGTTGGTGATTTAAGGTGTAGGAATACCAAATGTACTTGCTTTTTGATTTTCCTTGTTTACATTCACATACTCTGATTTATTTTCACTGATAGTGTCCGCGTTGTCATTTGACGCACTTTTCTTAGCATTGCTGTTTTTTTTTTTTTTTTTTTATTATAAATTCTCTTTTTTGTGCTCGTTAATGTCGTTTCTAAGAGGCGCGTTTTCTCATTTTAAGACTGCCTCTGAAAGCGTATTCCTCGAAGGCCTCAGTAAGTTCTCGACAAGTACACGTTGTGATTCTCTCACAAAGATTATTTAGTGAAACATTGTCTTTTTGAATGTCGGGTGTGTTGTGTACTTGTACTTTGTCCAGCTTGTTAGACTTCATGACAGGAACCGACAGCGCAAGGGACGTTGAACCTAACAGCAACTGTCCTGATGATGCAGTATACCCGATAATGTTTCTGCTTCCTTGCTTGTTTGGGCGTAGCATCGTTTCGACAGTCTGGCTTCACGCTAGCTGGAGAGAATTTCTTTCAAGCAAGGAAGTCTTAGATGAGTTGATTCAAGAACCGACACAACAACACCCGGGGAATAACCGTAAGCGCTCGGTACCCATATTCAGCAGCCAGCGCAGAGTTACAATATGAATGGTGCTAGCAGCAGTCTAATTATATGTCAGTTTTGTTTTCCCTTTGAGCGTCGAGTATCGGCCAGATCCTCTACTCAGTTCCCGCTACATCACTCTCAACAGACATTGGTGATGCATTTACTCCTCCGAACTGCACCATAAGGAGAGCCTGCCGGATCATGCATAAGTATTCCAACAAGTTATGCAGAGCCGGTTAGTCTGTCTGTCTGTTTATTTCCGCTACAATAGATAATATGTGTCTGTGGTTCAGGCGTTGCGAACGTACTTCGTGATTTAGGGTTCTGGGTCCGATCCTAACTGCAGACGATGTGGCAGCAGACCGTCTTGCGTTGGTTTCAACAACAGTAACAATAGTTGACCTTTGAGAAAGCAATAGTCAGTAGCAAACTACTGAAAGTAAATTTGCTTAGAAAAACCACAACAGCTAAAAATACTTGAGTGGTGCTGCAAACTTCCTCCAAAGGATACATAAAAGTAGTGAAGGTGAAACCAAAGCAGCCCGTCGTTGTTTATTTACGAGTATGGAACGCATGACTGGGTCCATAATGCTGTCATTAGAAGACTGGCACACGGAGAAATAGTTCTTCTTATCTGTAATTCTGGCCTTGGCAACGGCGTATTCTTTGCTCCTCTGCGTCAAACGGTATATTCTGCCTAGACTCTGTGCTTCTTTTCCTACAAGTCACCGGTGAAGCCACCTCCTCACTGCAAGACTTCGCTTTGCAAACTTTCAGATTGAATGTTGAATTTACCACGACAACTTATGTAATAGAAGTCGATGCCATATTCACATGGTCACAGTGCGTAACTAAAGTTTTCAACACATGAAATCTAAGCTTTTGAAATCGAAATGTTCAATTTCCAAGACAGTATGTCTGTGATGACAATACAGTTTTGCTGCTATCATTTGGACATACTGTTTTTTAAATGTTCAGTCACTGTATTCACTAAACTTTATTTTGTATGTTACTTGTGTGTTTCCGCTTTTTTTCTTCATTTTTTCATACTCTCTCTCTGCTCTGCTTTATTTTATCTCATCATAATCATCATCATAATTTCCATTTCTTCTGTTTAGCCGCGTGGGGAGGAACAGTTTACGATCCATTGCTTGATTGGCAGCAATGGCTATTGTCCCTCCGTATCTATGTAGAAGCTCTTTCATGTCATCAATCTATATTTTCCTAAATTAGTTTCCACATCATATCGTTTCATGTGTAGCATTGCTTTGGTAATTATAGCTTCATTCTTACAAGATGATCAAACAATTTGATCTTCTGTATCTCAATGAATTTGCTGCATGGTGTTTTTCCTACTGTCTGATAAAAAACTATTTCTAACTTTGTCTCTGATGGTTTTATCGGCGACTTTTCTTAGGCACCCCGTTTCACAATTAATAATTTTACGTAGGTTAGCCTTTGATAATATTCAAGACTCGTACTGGCAGTACTGTGTTGGTATGAATGTAAAATATTTCTATGGGCCCATATTTATGTTTGGATGTCCTAATAACGGTGTCAGTTGTGTACTAGGGCAGAGAAGCCCGTAAGTACCAAGATAAAAAGATAAAGAAAAAGAGAGAGTTCGTTTTGGTGGGGGGAGAGATGTTAATATCTCACCCAGGCAATAAATCTTCTGTGTAAAGTCTAATATAGCCCAGGTAACGAACAAACTAAAATAAACTAGGCACACTAACTACTAGTCGTAAGCTGAAGGAAACAACTGTAACTATGAATACAACGTGGAACATAATTTTATTTAACTTCACATCAGCGTGGTCAACAAATAACGACATTAACGACCACGTGCTGGAACAAAACCTCAAATATACAGCGATCTACCATCTAACTATTTCTTGGCAAGAATACAAATGAAAATTAATATTAAATATAACCAAAGGAACGTACCATACCGAGCCAATCTCATCACGGACTCTCCCTACGCCCGCCATGCCTGTCAACTAGCTCATTGTGCGAAGCACAGTCGCTAGGCAGGCTGGCGCAGTCCGTCCGGAAGTCGAATAGGCCTGAAATTTTGTCAGTCGGTGTACCTCAGTACCAGAATTTTCCCCATTTTCAGTCTATCTCTATTAGTTGTTCCGGTTGCCTTTTAGCAATTTTCAAACCAGAATAAATTCAAGATCTTTAATCTGCTGTACTGTAGTCTTCGTCGCTTCCACCCAACTATAGTTGGTATATACGTGAAAAGGCTCGTTGGCTTCTTGTTTATATTTCCCGGTCTGTTCTTCCGTTCTACGAGAGTATACTTCCTAGATATTTAAATTTTGTAATCCCATTAGTTTATACGAACGCTTTATTA